TAATGGCTTCTGAAAATTCTGTTTTGCCATCACAGAAATAAATAGCATTTTTTTAAATAGAGAACATGTATTTTAAATTGTACATTTCACAAAGTTTCTGTTTTTACTGTATTCTTAATCAAATAAATGCAGTCCTGTTGAGCATTAGAGACATCTTTTAAAAACATTTTACTGACCCCAACCTTTTGAACGGTGTGTAGTATATATAGTGAACACATTGTACAGACTACTTTTATGTTGCTTTTATATTATTCAGTTTTTTCCATAACATTAACTCCATAACTTGCGGAGGTTAGCAGGCAATTGCAGATTTGAGGTTGACATGTTCTTGATGATATTTTATGTTGCTGTCTTGGTTCTTAGTTGCCTCTGTCTGAGCTGTCAGCTACTGTAGTTTGATGCCAACTGGTGTGTTCAAAATATAACTGACAACTGCTAAAAGTAGAAATTATTCTCTCTCTCTACTCTGTAGCTATAAGAGGACTCAGGAGACTCTGTCTCAGGCAGGTCACATGACATCAGCTGCATTCTCCTCAATGGGCTCCGCCATCAGAAACCAATTTGGAGAGATGAGGTGAACTTAATATTCCTCCTCTGCATACCTTCTCTCACTGTTTTTTTTTTCTCCTAGTTATCTCAACCTCTCCCATCTTCTCCCATCTCATAAACTTTTAATTCTCTTTTTATAACTTACTTTGATTCCTCTGATTCCTTGTACGATGGTTGTTTTTCCTATGAAGCTAGTTTTGTGACTTCATGTTCGAAGTTGTATTTTAAAGCAAACCAAGTTCAGATCCACTTTTCGCTATTATATCCACTATTAGGAGCATTTATCGCCTCTCAGTTTTTCAATACTGTTCTGTTGTATTGTGACATTTAGGTGAAAAGGATATTCAGGAAAAATGTAGGGTGAGACTTGATTTAGCTGAAAAATAATTTCTTTGAAATAATGTGCACTGATTAATCATGCACAATAAGACCATTCAAAATAAATTGTGGTCAGTTTTGATTTAATATTAAATTGAAATGGACCGGTGGTACTAATTGAAACGTGTAAAAGACATTCAGATTCAATACATATATTAGCGAGGCATCTGTCTTCAGACTTGGACTAATAGCCAACAGTGTCAGTAGCTGTAATAATGAGGTATTTGTATGGTGGGAAATCTCCAGATGGCTCCAGTAGCGTGAGTTCTGTGGCGTTTTTCAGTGAAACAGCTTGTTTTGTACACCATGTCAAAGAACAGAGCTTATCAAAATGAGACATTCTGCTCTGATTTGACACCAAACAAACAGGTTGTAAATTTGCATAGCTTCTCGAATCGTGTTTATGCTTCCCATGTATACCCTTGTTTTTGCTTCTCTGACTAACTAACCTGATACGTTACGTACACCGTTCAAATGTTTGGGGTTGGTAAGATTTTTTTAAAGTCTTATACCCACCAAGGCTGCATTTATTTGATCAGAAATACTGTAAAATTGTGAAATATTTCAATTTGTTTTAATGTTTTGAAATGGAATTTATTCCTGTAATGGCAAATCTGAATTTTCAGCAGCCATTGCTCTTTAGTGTAACATGAGCCTTAAAAAATAATTCTAATATGCTGATTTGCTCAAGAATCTTTTTTATGATCAGTGTTGAAAACAGTTGAGCTGCATGCATCTATGCCGAATAAAAGTGTTACATTTCTTTTAAATGAATAGAAACATATTACTGACCCCAAACTTTTAAATGGTAGTGTAAATTAGCGTCAACTAACATCCTGTTTTACAACCTGTATTTGCACACTGCTTGTTTCTACTTTTTTTATTTTACTCTCTCCTGTCCTGTATGTATTTTATGTCAATATTATGTTCTGATGGAGGTTTGAAGCAGTTCTTTTGTTTATTGCTGTGTTTTTCTCCACACCGCTGCGTTTGGGCTGCTCAGGGCTCTGCCATACTCTAACTCTGGGTAAGAGCTATACGAGAGCCTGCACTGATGGCAGCCGTCTTCTTTTTGAGGTCTCCTGGACCTATGACGATTTCTAGAGCATTCTTTGGTACCCGTGAAGCGATTGATGTATCTGAATCTACCTTTAAAGCTGTCATTGATACAATATTGATATGACCTTAAATTACTATAGCTATGATAGAGATGCTAGATATAATATCCTATATAATAAGTTTGCTTTAATTAGTTTTTCATTGTGGTCTACAATTTCTCTTTCTCTGCTTTGTGCTCGGCTAACGCTGTCTGCTCGGCTAACTCTCCCTGCTCACTCTGTCTCCAACCTACTGTCCGCAGTAGCAACTTTTCCATGCATCACTCTTTAAGTATGCCAGCTATGAGGTAAAGTACCAGCCCTTCTCTCGCCCATTCCCCTCTGCACATTAATATCTGTCTGAACGCTGTCTTTCACCTGATGAACAAATCAGTTTTTATTCAACTTCTTTGCTGAGAAAAATTTTAATGTTTGTTAATGGTAACATTTAATATTGTTGTAATTTTAATGGAATAGTCAATGATTTGCTACTAATCTGTATACACTTTTCAAAGAAAATAGGTCATAACTTCATATTTACACAAGAAGCAATATGGAGGTACATCAGGTACAAAAAGACAGATAGTATCAGGTAGAACCAAAGGCATGGTCAGCATTTTGACCTCAGCAGTTTAATAGTAGGTACATTTATTTCATATACAGCTTTATTTTTCTGCATGGAAAGCAAATGCTTTTTCTCTGTGTGGCTGTTTAAGCCCTGTCAGCACTGCTTCACCTAAATGGATAGACAAGGTCTTTCTTTTTTCCTTTATATGACTTAAAGGTGTCTGTTCGTCTCAACATTTTCCTTCACATTTTAGGTTGCATGTAAAAAAACTCAAGATATTTTTGAAATCTAGCTAGTTTTTTTTTTTAAATATCTTCTCAGGAACTCACCCAGCTTTAAAACCTTTGAGGACAAGGTGGAGAATATGAAGGTTAGAGCTTTTTTTTCTCCATTAATTGGTTTCTATTTTATTTCTTGCTGAGCCTTTTCTTTTAGCACAACTGTTATTTAATATATGTTCATGATTTTATTACTCCTTCCATTGTGTTTTGCCTCCAAAGGACAAAGTAATGGGGCGATCAAATGGAGAGGGTGACCATTCAGCAACCAGCAACAACACACCTTTCTGAGCAGGAAGCACAACCTCGTGACCTAGAACTGACCTCTGTGATTTCTCTATAACGCTGTACCCAAATACACTCCAGTCTCTCCACTGCTATGTTAACTTCAAATGAATGTACTGACAGTAAGCAATGCTTTAAGAAACTAAGATGCCAACATGCAAAGAGATAATTATTAATTTAACAACTGAAAGCTGTCACCCTTGCAAATGCATTGTAGCCAAACAAAACCTCTTAAATTAGAATGTTAAAAACTGGATAACCCTTTCTGGGACTGTTAGGTTTTCTTCTGTGCATCAAATTACCTTTACATGTATTGTAATATTTAATTTTTTCCAACAACAGGGCTTCTCTGACACTTCAGTAGTAAATGGTCTGTTACGATCAGCATGAAGAGGTGAAATGTTTGCACAACTCACACTTAGAATGTCCTTAAATATGCTTTATGGCCACTGTTTATTATTGTTACATGCTTCCTACAATGAATATTGCACTGGTTATTACCCTGCTTGTTACTCCGGGCAAAAGGTGCTAAAGCTTTCCTTGTGACATGACTCAGATATGTATCGTCTCTGAAGATGTGTACTAAATTATTCACATGTATTTGATTGTCTTGTATGTTTTGAGTTTTTCCCCAGTTATCCAGGTCATAAAAAATATACTACCGTTTCTTCTCGGTACCTTTAAAAAGTTTAGAATGAGTTTATTATTCTTATTCTTTTGGCACATAATGAATATCTTTGTAGTTTTTCTTTCTCTCAGTAAAAAAGAAAAACTTTTGTCTGGATATTTTCCCCTTGGTTACCTTTGTTACATTGCAGTGGCTGGCATAGATTGAGCATTTTTCCTTTTTCCCCCCAGAGTACAGTAGTGTAACAATGACCATAAAGGAATCTGGTGAAAAGATGGTGTTTATAAATTATTTAATTACTAATCAGATGCAAGACTAATATTTCTGAGTAAGATTAAATGTAATGATTGTAATATTTAATCAAATATTGTGGTGGGCAAAAGGTCAATTTCACTGTAAGGTGATGGAAGATATGTTTTTAATTTATTTTTTGGTCAGTTTATTATTTTTCTTTTGATTCTTTGTGCTGATGGGGAGTACTGTCCATGCAATGATCTGGAAGAGAATGTTACCATACTGACCTAACTACTGTATACATGTTTGATGCTTTGTGGCTGTAACGTACTACACGATCAGGGTTTATTAAAGACAAGGAAATGAACGAGAATGTTGTGGTTTGATCTGTCCGTGCACATACTTACTTTCAGAATAAACCATTTCATCATGCATATGACCTTTAAAATAAATGGTCAATAATTATAACAGACAGCAAGTGGTGACAAACATCCATATTAATTTGGGTTTTCTATTAAAATTGTATCAAGTTAAGAGTTGTTACAAATCAAACATTGGGACGTAAAGGTTTGAGTTTATTTATTTATTTATCCATCCGTCCGTCCCAGTATTGGATATTAGAGTTGTAACGAACAGATTGGGACGTAAAGATTTTCATTCATATTCATTCCTTCCAGTATTGGATATTATATTTGCCGTCACAATTTTCCTTTAGAAAACAAACTTCCAAGGCATGTGACCTTGTTTGGATTGATGGAATGGTTAACGTGGATTTGAGTTGTTTAGCAGCGTGGACACCCCGTCCCACTTCACTTTATTGAAACAACATTGTTTTGACAATCTCGTGCCAGTGACCAAGCCACGCCCACAATATCATGCCAGCGAACAAACCACGCCTCAGCGTGTGCCAGAGACGAGTTAGCTGCCAAGCCACGCCCTCTAGGAGAGAGAGAGAGGCTTTATCGTCACTAAGGTAATAAATAGTGCATGCGCCCTACGTGTTGTAGAATTTGGAGCGAAGGAGCGAAAGACCTTGGAGGGTCTCACCCAAGAACCACACTACAAATGGGCCCCGTCGCCTAGCATTTACCCGACCAAGCCTTGCTTTTGGTGTATTGCCAACATCAGCACTCACCAAAAATAAAAGGTAAGAAAATGAAGAAATAGTTCATTATCATTGTTATTTTTTGGACAGACAGTTTAGAAAGGAAAACCATTGTTTACGTTTTATTTACAACTAAACTCTTAATATCAGTAATTCTGAGGTCATGCAAATTAATAAACTGTAAAAAAAAAAAAAAATTCAATAATTTGAAGTCACCTAGTTGCAACTGATAAAGCATACATTTTGACGTAGCCTTCTGTAAGGCAGCGTATCTTAGTATTTTTGCACTTACACTTCTATAAAAAAATGTTCCTTAGTATTTTTTAACATTTAGAGCATGCCAGCTTTTCAAAGCACGTGTGTGACTTAAACGTCTCGTCTGTTATATGTAGCACAGAAGGGTATTAACCAGGTCACGTGGTAAATCCCTCTTCCCATATGGAACCTGACATTGATGTATGCAGGTCCTCAATATGAAACTAAAGCTACACTAACACACTAATTATTGTGCTATCACTCAGTCACTGTGTGCCAATATTATTTATTATTGCTGTACATTCGTACCTTACCTTTAAATTGTTGTTGTTGTTGTTTTTTTAATGTGCAGTTGAAAGGAGATGCTCTTATTTTGTGTGGATGACTTTATTTCGATTTTTGGATAATCTATAGCCTGGAAATATCAGGAAGGTCACATATATATAATTAGTTTTCCTATCTTTTAAATGCTCAAAGCAACTGCAAGCAGACAACCTTGGAAACCCAGGTACTTTTATAGTCATGTGTCATGCAATATGAGCTATTCTGTATGGATGTTGCAGTGGCGTCATGGCTGTTCTAAGCAAGTGGGTCGTTGAATATGGTAATATTATTCTTGAAGTAACAGCTGTTAAGTATCATCACATCACACTCTACAGAATAGGAAGGGATGCATGTGCAGTTTCAGTGGAACATTCTCTTCATCCTTCTTGTCTCAAATGTCAAAAGGGTTCTGTTCTTCTCTGAATGCACTGATTAATGTTCACATCTTGACCTGTTGGGAAAATGTAGGCGACACCTTGCGTGTAATCCAGACATGGTTAAAACCTCTTTGAATCTCTGAGGGTGCTGGCTTGCAGCACAGATTGTTCGTGCATCTGCCTACCTGAGATGTTTTTTAAGTTGCCCTAGTATTTTAAAGGCCATGTTGTTGTCATGTCATGCAGCTGTCGTCCTCAGACACATTAATCCTCATTATTGCTGTAAATCTTTATTTAAACAGGTCTTTCCATCTTTCACACAGCTGACACTTTAAGGACGGGGAAAATGGCAGCAATTCCATCCAGCGGTTCCCTTATTGCCACCCATGATTACTACCGAAGTGAGTAAATGTTTTTCATTCACAGTATAATCAATACGTGAATTAAATATTCTTCTTGAATTTAGGATCCATAAAATGCGATATTACTAGTGATCAATTTTTCTTCATGTTGCAGGGCGCATAGGATCTACATCCAGCAACAGTTCCTGTGGCAGTTCAGAGTACACTGGGGAGGTCATTCCACACCCACCAGGTATATCATCTGAAGATGTTTATCATCTCAGTCAGTACCCAAAAATCCACATAAAAATGTGATAAGATATAGTTGGCTTGTTAAGGAATAGAAAAGTTCAATGTCCAATTCCATGGCAGGTCTGGCACGACAGGACTCTGGCCACTGGTGGTCCAGTTTCTTCTTTGGGAAGCAGAATCAAATGGGGACACTCAATGGATTTGAATCCCAGCAGAAGTGAGTTTAAGAAATGTTTTGTGTTTGGCTTGACTCGGCTCCTGGTTAATTTTTTTTCTATTGACTATTATCAAAATGACTACTTCTAGAAACCGTCGTAGTAGTAGTAAGGTTTCCAAAAGTAAGAATAAACTACGAATTCAAGTAAAATTCAGTCATCAAAAGTGAGCCATCCTACTTTCAAAACCACTTGCTATGACAACTAATAAGTTTAGTATCACGAAATTCTTGCAAAACATTATTGAAAGAAAAATCGGACCTTTCATATCATAATAAAATAAATTATTACACTATTATCGTCTCCAGTCTGAAAAAAAAACCTGCATGTGATTTGGGATTTATATTTAGTTTACTAATGCTGCTGAAATGTGCCATTAAGGTACTGACACAAAATGAAGTCAAATATAACTGATGTAAATGACAAAAACAAAGTTTAAGGCTGTCTCTATTCATATTCACCGAAGCAAAGTAGCAGATGTTATAAATAAAAACGGTTAACGATGTTATTGAATAGAATATATTAAAACCGTTATTGCACGACATGGGCCTATTATTACACAGACAAAACAGTCGAGATGCATTTTTTTCCCTATTTTACGCATTAGTAGTAAATCAAGACTTCGCAAGTTCTCTTGCAAAATAATAAAAAATCAACAACATGGAATAAACTGTGTACAGAAAGCGAGAAAAGAACTCTCAACATTAGGCTCCTAAAAAGGTCAGTTTAATCTCGCAAAACCTCCCGTTAATAAAAAAAAATCTGACTACACTGCATCTTTGTTGTTTGCTGAATTCGGTGCTTGCACGTACACCGCTTTTATTCTTGCAGCTTAGATGTTCAAATAGCTGCAGTGCTCCGACTTTACCACAAGCAAACGTGCGTACGTCTGCTCAGACCCTGATGTGTCTGTACGAGTCTGTCAAATTACTTTTTCACGCCAAAGACCGTTTTTATAAATATGAACGTTGCCGTGGATTTTAGTGTACGCAGCACACACGAAGATCAAATCACATTTTATAAATGAGGCCCCATGTCACCTGTATTTAGGATAACTTCATTGACGTAAAACTTTACGCAACGCATCTATGATGCGAAAGTACGAGATATTTTAGAGAAAGCACCCCACAGATGGTGCTGCCTTTCGACTGTTTAATGGGTGTGCTTATTTGGGTGAATGGTTTAATGTTTCCATTATGGCCATTCGCCTATAAGAATATGCTCGGACCGCAGACTTTTCTCACTGATCCTACAGTCCTTAGTTTCTAAACTGAGACGAACTAAAAACAGCGTCTGCTTCACGAGCGCTGCTCCTGTCTCACCCGCGACTCAAGGTTACTCTGCACAAAGGTGAACGCATGCACACAAGTGTGGACAGACTCGTTCTTGGAAGTGTTTCAAGCTGTTCTGTTTGTTTAGGTATTCCCAGAGTGTTTGGAAACCGTAAAACAGTTTCCAGTTAGCATGATTAGCATTCCCAAATGCCATCTGGTTTATTTCAGCCTGGGTTTTTAGTTTTTTTAACTCTTTGCTATGTATTAACATCTAGTGAAATATCATTGTAGATAATAGAACACAATACATGGTAAAGTTTAATAACCCAAATGCAACATAATTTCAGTTAACTTAGCTTATCGGTCAAATAAACTTGTATGGGCATTTGTTTCACTATTTTATTTATTTATTTTGTAGGCAGTACATTTTGTTTTGTTTTTCGTATCTCTGATTTTCTTTCTTTTTTCTTTTATACTGGTTTTCAGACAATTTCTGGCAATTACTATGGCTATGTAGCTGCAGTTTTTATTGAGAAAATTACTTTTGTGGCGCTTGTTCTTGCCTTACATATTGCACTAAATTCAGCAGCATTATGGTAAAATTGTGCTACAAACCTACTTATTTACACAGTATTTTGTAATACAGACTTATGAAGCAAAGTTGAATAAATAGCACAATGCACGCCAGTTGTTTGAAGAAATATCTCTTGGGATTATTGCAAGTTATACAGGCAGTTACAGGCAACCAAACAGCCCTTCCTATTGTGATACTGCTTTGTGAAACAGGACTGCAATGGTATTTCAACACACTCAAAGCTAAGATGAAAACTGAAATGCAGATTAACTATTTAAAAGAAAAGGGACCATGTGAAAGTACAAGGGCTATGCTATAACAGTCTTTAACACATTTTTTTTCTCCTTTCTGATTTGTAGCCCTGCCGCTGATGTCTGAATTATTGGATGTCCGATTGCAGAGCACAAGAGGTGTTCAAAATTCTTCAGAGATGCCAGTCATCATTTTCCCCATTAGTCTGGCCAGGCAAGTCCAGAGTCCAGAGTGTTCTCGATTCTATTTCTGCTTACCACGCACCCACAACATGAACACGTTGTGGCAACACTCATGTTACGGAGTTTGAATGTTTCAGCAGTAGCAACAATCAGCAGGACGTGTTGCATCTGCAGTAGGTGTGTGTGTACGTACCGTATAAATAGTCCATAGTCCTATCTAACCCATGAATGTCGCTCAATCAAATCATTAATAAAAAATTTTTTTCTTTTAATGAAATGCACATTCTGTATTTTCAGCATTTGGAGGATCAGTTAGCTTCTACTCGTGAACCGACAGCACTGTGCCAACTGAAAACTGCAGTGGAAAGTTTAGAGATTGTGAAATGACTTGAGTCCACAACTGGCCAGACTTGTTCTGTTCCGGATGTTGTGTACTCTCTCTCACACACATTTAAAAGCTTATTTACAGCAGCATGATTTAAATGGGTCATATCATGAGAAATCCTTGATTTCATTGTTTTATAAAAACACACTAACTTTCAAAATAAACCCTTTAATGTTTCAAGTTACGGTTCTTCAATTATATACCATTAATTTAAAATACAGAGTGCAGATCTGGTGAAGGGAAGTTATTTTGTAGTATGAGGGTAAAACTTGTTAATAATGAACATAAAACCGGTTTTATGTATAAGTCCAAGTGATCCATTCAGAAACTTATCCGTCTCCAAATCGGGATGGGAAAAAATGTAATAGAAAAATAATATTCAGTATCAACTAGTATTATCCAAGTAGATTTGAGGAAAAACTTGATTAGGCCTATATTAAATGTTAATAATTCCACATGAAATCAGAAATTAAGGACACAAAAGAGTGAAAGTGTGAATACTGTAAAAAGGGGTGAAAATAAGTGGAAAGGTGTTTAGATGCATGAACAACTATTGTTGGGACACTCCCAGTAATTTTCTCTGCATGGCACTGTTAACTGATGCCTTCTGCTGGATCTGATGTGTCATTGCAGCGCTCAGTGTTCCACCCCATGTATCCAGTACCGGAGTTCTCCAGGAGCATTTTAAGTTAATTGAAATCTATGTCTCTCCAACATATCAGCATTGTGTCATAGATGTGCGATGGACACTTAGGGGGTGAAGGCATTCTGTACCTTGTGATCATGTTGTACACCTCTTGATTGGAGAAAGCTGCAAAAATATATACAAAAAATGATGTACTTTAACCTTCTCAGATCTGCATGAAAAAGAAGATGCATAAGTGGTGTACATACCTGGATATGGGAATCCCCCATAAGTGAACATTTCATACAGGAGGACTCCAAATGACCAAACATCAGATTTGTTGGAGAACCTTCCATGGCTGATGGCTTCAGGAGCACACCACTTATATGGTATTTTTTTTCTTCAGATGAGTAAATTGGTTCCTGTGAAACAAGTGCCCGTATGTTTTAAAAGCAAATTTTAAGAATTAATATTCTGTCTTTGATTAACTAGAAGGTAATCCTCACCGTGACGATTCGAGCTAGGCCAAAGTCGGCCACTTTACAGATGTAGTTGTGTCCCACTAGAACATTCTGGGCTGCCAGGTCTCTGTGGCTGCTGTTCTTCTCCTCAAGGTATGCCATCCCATCAGCCACTTGACTTGACATTTCTATCAGTTCCTGTGGTTCCAGGTTCTGCCCGTCCTTACCTGTGAAGGGAGAACCGAAGGAATCATGTCTGTCTGCTTTAAGACTTTGGTTTTCTACAAAAAACAAGACTCATTCTAAGGAGAGGTATTAGTGTATGAGTTGCAGTGATTGGTTTATGAAGAAACGTGATACTAGCAGCAAAAAAACAAACAAACTTGAATTTGGACTGTTTAGTCTTGTTTTTTCTTTATTAAACGATCACAGCTTTAACATTTGCATTTGATTAAATACAATTTTATAAAATTTCAATATACATTTTAACAATAAATTACATTATTCTCACTAGCAAGCTAGTTCAAATGGCAGTGCGGAGCGCGAGTAACCGATAATCTGCCTTGCTACGAACAAAAACAAAACATGAATGAACTTCAGAGAGGGTATATTGAAATCAGTGATATCATGATTAGTTGTCATGGTGACCAGAGCGCCTGGTGCTCAGCAGACATCCTGGCATCCAGTTAATTGAGTGAGGGGACTGTGACGATTTGTTAACCTAATGAATAATTGATTTGTTAAATCAAATTAAAAATTAGTGTGTCAGATTGGTCGAGACGCTACAACAGTCAAACTTACTAAAAAATCTCTCATATAATCGCTTGGTAAATTGGTGTTTTATTCACTTATTCACAGAAAATATCAATAAAACAGCTTGTGAACTTCAGATAAAGCAGAGTCATTCATGTGCTTGGGTCATTAGAAATACTTCTAGAAAAAAGAACTTTGTAGAAGAGCATATCGCTAAAATCTTAAATATATTGTTAAGTATGTGCACTAAGTTATAAAAGCATTAAATTTTTTACTTAACTTATTATTGATGTCTCATTTAATGTATGTTTGATTAAATCTCATAATTCTGAAAATGGTTTGGAATCTTTAGAAGCCCTTACCACGAAAACAAGCTTTCATGACATCTGATATTTAAATGATTATATCTCAACAACAGTTTAGAGTAGAAACAATGATATGATTAGAAAACAAAAACTTGAGGGCTGTTCACACCAAAGATGATAGCCAACTATACTGTTTTAACAATTGTTTTAATTCTGTGAGAAAAGGGAAGTC